GGAAGAGCGGAAAAATGGAATAAAATACTGACAGGCAGAATGTGCTTTGAAGAAACGCACCGCTTTTCCCGGTGAATGAAAAGTAAACAGAAAAGTCGCGCCTTTTTCTGATTTCTACTTCTAGAAACTACGTTTCTTTCATCTCATTTCTCCTTTCTCATTCGCTCTTTTTGCCCATTACACGGCAACTTCTCTCTCCCTACTTTTTTCATCCATCTCTTTACTATACTTAGGACATCTTCAGCTATTTCTCCCGTGCATTCAAGCAATAAGTACTTTACGATAGTACAACGGAAACTTTTCAAGAACAAATTACCTTAAAGAGAAAAAGAGAAAGAGAGAGAAAATATCATGTACTAGCACACTTTTACCAATGCTACAAATTTTTATATTTAAAACGTTCAATTAATATTATCATCATTTTTTACAGTCACTTGCACTAAATATATAATCAATTTCGATGGTTTCTTTTTATAAGTAATTTTCTTAAAGAGAAATTGAATATTGAAAAAAAAAGTTTTTCGATATGTACATTTTTCTTCTCTCTAAAATGATTAAAACTAATCGTATCTACCCTTTTGAAAAACAAACGCGACAACTTGTCAAACACATGAATGTTAATTCCAACGAAATTAATATGTTAGAAAATTGTAATACGTTAAAAAGAAAATAAAAGTAATGAAAAGTGCATAGAATTAGAACAAAAATTGCTCAATTAGTTGAGCAATCCGATATTTTATAGTCGATACTTGTCGACGAGACAAGTTTGTATTGACGAGCCCACGTTGATGGTGATGTGGTTAGCTAGGGACGAAGGAAAAGACTACGAAAAAGAACAAAAGTGGTTGCAGTAGCTAGCAAGTTCGGCCTAGGAAATGAAACCTACGAGTGAGAGGAAGTGAATTGGGTTCGAGTATAGGTAGAAGCAAAAGCAAAAGCGAAAGAGAAAGAGAGAGAGAAAGAGGTAAAAAGAACGAGAGAAATTGTGTCTATGTGTATGTGAGCGTGCTTGCTTGCTTGCTCGGTTGCTTGTGTGACGACGAAATGCAATTTTCATCTGCCTGCCGACGCCCATCGTCGGCTGCATCGACTGCAGTTGCAGCTGCTGCTACTCTCCTCGTTTACCATCCTCTTTCGTTTCTCTCCTCTCTTCTTTCTATCTCTATCGATTCTACAACTGGCAAACCTTTCGCTCTCTCCCTCCCCCATCACTGTTCTCTCTCTCTCTCTCTCTGTCTTTCTCTTTCTCTTTTTCATTTTCATTCTCGATCTATCTCTATCTATTAATCTACCTTTTTTCCACCGCTTGTCCACTTTCCCGATGTGTTTGCTCGACTGATTGCATTTTCGTGGACAAATATTGTGGTATTATGACAAAGCTGATTGGCGGAAGGCCTCAGAGGGACTCACGCCATCTCTTGTGTCATTTGCGACAGCTAGCTTTGTGCAGCCGATAGCATCCCACTTTGGTCGATTAATTGGATTTAAGAATTTTCTTCATTTTTCGATCACTCACCGTCTTGTCTTGTATATATGTGTGTGTGTGTGTGTGTGTGTGTGTGGATTTCTTTTAAGAGTAAAATTTAATTATAATCATTCATTTTTGTATTAAACGTCCAAGATTTATGTTAACAAATTTTGTACGATTACTCTATTTAATAAGTTATTTTAATCGAAAACACGTTCTCTTCGTATAAATCATTTAATTTTAATACAATAATTGAAAAATCTATTAAAGGAGCAACAAAAAAGAATAGTTAGATTTGTATAGCAGTTACGTAGATACGCGTTGACTTCGAAGTGATAGAAAAATAGAGAAGGGATAGTTAGAGAGGAGTGTGAAATAGAGAGATTGGGAAAGCGTAAAAGGATAAAAAAGAAAGAAAGAGAAAGAGAGATGGGTGGATTTGAAAACCGAAACAGAGAACGAGTACTTCCCACACTTCCTCGCACGCAACCGAGCTGCGGCTAATTAATGCACTTTTGTTTGTTTGCTACCACCCTGGTCTGACTATGCACTAGGGACCTGCTAAAGTGGTGAGTAGTGGTAAGAGTGGTTGCGAGTGCGGGAAGGTCGAAGCTATGGTAGATCGTACACCCTCCCACCACTTTAAGCTACCAACGGTACAAAAGCGTCAAGTTCCCTTCGTAGCTGCACCCCTCCTCCTTTACTCTCCTTCTTTCCTTGTCGTGTATATATACATCTATCCTTTTTCGTTGCATGCCCATCTCTACGTATACACGTACACGTACACTGATATGGTCCACCGTAGGCTATAGCCAGTGAACACAAACGACGGGCTGCGAAAGCTCATCCAAAATAATTAACTGGTGATGATGAGAACACGATATCTGGGAGTCGTTATAGCTTTCGACCCTCTGAAACCTCTTATTAATAGTCGCTCAAGGATCATCCAACTGGTTCCGACCTCTTAACGTCGAGAAAATAGATAGGTAAAACAAAATATGGGTTGGTTTGTATATTCTTATATATTATGAAAATACAAAAACGATTTTTTTTGTATATTTCCGCTTTTATTCAATTAATTTAATTCATATATATAAGTTAATATTATCTTTATAATTGTAATTGTACTATTAAACGTGTTAGTCCATTAGTTAGAAAACTCAGTGAATAAGATTCGAGTTTTTTTTTAAATCTATTTTTATTGTAAAACAAAATGACATTGTAGAATTAATAATTATTATTTTCTTGATTTTTGTTGAAATTCTATTCTTTTACAAAGTGTATTTCAAATAAAGTCATTCACACGATATTCAGTGAAGTTCTTTCATTTCAATTGAACGATTTATTCTGATTTTCTCTCTTGTTTTATATGATATTAATATAAGAGAGTTGGAAAAATATTTATAAGGTATTTAAATTATTCTGCACATTCGTAAATTAATATCAAATCGTTGATTTTATATTTTTTTTTACTATGAGAGTACAATTAACAATGGTATCTTTTTTAGTCTCTGCTGGCAAACAAGGGGTAAAGTGAGAAAAGAAAATCTCATTTGATATCAGCACTTCGTCTCTCTCTCTCTCTCTCTCTCTCTCTCTCTTTCTCTCTGTCATTATTATCGTAGTGTCAATACAACCCTTTCCCTGTAAAATTATTTCTTCGCAATAATGCGTAATGCCGCCGCATGCTTTCTATACAAATCAGACGACGATAAAACACTCGATTTTACGGACCGATAATGCATTGAGTATTTTTTGTAAAGATTTTCGCATCGCTTCAACTACCATGTAATATCAAAATCCATAGTATGGGTTTGTATGGGTAGTAGACGCGTGCAAGACGAATTAAAAGGGTGCATAGAGTTGAAAAAGGGTGAACGATTCGAACGAGGGACAACCCTCGTTGCGTTGCCATGCATGAATTATTTAATTGGATGGTGCTTTTAATACGCCTGTAAGCGGTAAATTTACAGCCGAATTAATGTAGGATATCTGTTCGCGAATTCGAACGAATCGAATTTAAAAGAGAGAAATAGTTTTCGAGCGTTAACCTTTTCAACAACACGTTACTTGGAGAAAAGCCAAAAGCCGAAGAGACAATGAATAGACGTATAATAATGCAAATTATCTTTTGCATCAGAGTTTCGTATCTCTGTTTTTTTTTTTTTTTTATTTCTTTTCTACTTTTCCACATCTCGAACTTATTCGAGAGAAAGCGTATTACTTTTTACTCGGAATACTGGCTTTGTTTCGTTAACGATTTTGATAACGCGTGCATGTTATTTATGACATGTTGAAATTTATTACTATATTATTTTTATTGTTATAATGAATCATATATAAAAATTTAAATTTCAATGATACGTATTAAAAACGATTTCACGAAACTTTGCTTTTGATTATCTTTTATATAAAAGTATATTAAAAAATAATAAATAGAGTATTGTGTAAGTAGTTTATTATGAAAAATATTGTCGATTACATTCTAATAGTAAAAATTGGAAATTTAATCTACGACTTACATCGGCATATCATATGCTCGTTTTATCGCGTGACCGTACTACTTCTATCGGAAATAACGTTGTATATCTCAGGAGAAATGATGCTTATCGTTTCTATCTCTTAAGGAATATTCGCACGAGCTTATCTTTTTCTGGATCATATATATTTATGTCGATGGTTAAAAAAAAAATATAAAATGAGTGCTAGCGATTTGCTTTTTATATTTTACATTCGTGTATTGATAAAGATACAATAAGTGAATACAAATGTTAATTATTGGCGTAAAATTTGCAATTCACTTTACGTGCATTAATTAAAATATAAATGACACATTACGGGCGATCATTTTCATATGTATAATAATTTATGGTACTTGGTTTCACATCACGACGACACGCAATATATTTCTCGTTATTTCTAATAAAATCAATAAAAGCAAGTAAATTCTTTTAAGAAACCTGATATACGATATGATGCAAATTATCGACGTTTTGCCTAATATGATACGACACGTAGAACGTTCTCGAATAAATAACAGTACTTTGCAGCTGAATCATCTATAGTTGTTAGTTTAGTTACTAAAGATATGAAATGCAAATATAAAAATACACAGAAGGTATTTTCTTACTGTCGAACAATTAAGATTTATATGTACATAAGTACGCACGAAATGCATACGTATGACGCCATGTAAATGCTTTATTATTATAATCATTTTTATATCTTATTACTTTTAACATTCAAAGCGAATTTGTTATTATTGTATCGATGTTTAGGCTGATAATAAGTCTTATTATGAGTAAAATAATAAAAAGAAAAGACAAAAGGAATCATTGTAGAAATTATTTTACCTATATACTCTTTAGTTATCAATCGGTAGACATGCGTTAATGCGTTATTGCATTTGTAAAAAACAAATCAAAATAAAATAAATCCTATTGTAAAAGAATAATTGAAATCACATTTAAAACGTTTACTCCTTTTCTTCCAAAGTTTTATCATAAAAGTAAAATGACATTTTCTTACTTACCAAAGAGCCAACTGGTAATGGAGAATTGCACGGTTCGGTTGTGACGTATCTCTTAAGAAGTTGGCGAAATTGTAATGCATCTTGGCATTGTGAGGCAGAGACCGCAAACCAGCTCTGTAACAAGACGATCCGAGGTCAGACGAGACATAACCTCTCGACCTCGACAGAATCTAGCCACCTTCGTCATTCCGTATCTATGTTAGTTATGTTTTGCGTTCGCCTTGCATGACCCAATCGCTCTTAAACGATGCCACCAAGTCATCTCACATTTAATCTACACGTAGTATACGTGTGTACATTGGCTTTTAGCCAGAATTATTGTTTTAGATTATGAATATCATTACCCTTAACTTTAAGTGTTTTTGGACTATGATAACGATGCAACAAAATTATAGATCAAAATTTGCATTTTATTTTGAAATGTTCTATTTTTTTTTTTTAATTTTCTTCTAAACAAAATTAAACATTTTATCACATAGATTATTTAAAAGATAATAAATATCTAGTACATATTAGTTTTCGATCAAACTTCATATATTACCATAAAGCATACCTAAGTAAAGTTTCTCGAGACGTCCAATCGTTATTTCGAAGAAAGGTTCTGTAGCATCCCAAAATGAGAAGCAAGACCACACCAATTGTAATAAAACTTCTTCGTCGTGGTACAGCTGTCCAAGTCACTTGAATACCATAGACAACTAGTAAGGTCCATCCAACGCTAGAAAAAATATTAAACAAATATCGAATAAGATATATAATTTCATAATACGTTGCATATATATTTTTATATAGATTGAACATGTTATATTAATTACTAATATAATACTATTGATATTATATGACTATTGCTTAGTAATGTATATAAGCATAACAACAAGTATAATAACGGTTTTGTGTAAACGAATGGCAAACATCTTTATATACAAGAGATATGGTTTGAATTGGTATTAAAGCTTCAGTATTACCTTGGCATGTACAGTACGCGCTCCGCAACGACGAATCCGACAGTTAAGAAAAGATTAGATGCAGGTAGGAACGGTAGCACCAGGAACATCCAACCAAGTATTAGAGGCGGGTGCCTTTGTTGCTAAAAACCAAAAATTTACTTTAATTCACTATTTATTGAGAAATAATACATATGTATGTATCAACAAAATAATATCTTATTTTCTAATATATAATTGCAATATAACTTCGAAAGATATTAATTCAAATACTTTTTTAATTTGTATTAACATAAATAAAACAAAACTTTATATGGAATATAAATAATTAATACAAGATGTTGATTGGAATTTTTTCTAAAACATGTAAATATTCGTTTATTTCAGTAATATAAATATTTCCAAGGAATTTATTTATTTTGACAATTTAATATTTAATATTGTTTTTTAATTTTTGAGAGAGAAAGAGAGAGGGCACTAGATCCGATAGTTATTTTCTCTTGGAAATAAATGAATATCAAATGATAAAAGGAAGTTGTATTTTTAATTTTAAAACAACATGTGAAGATTTATGCGTCAGACAAAGTAGAACAGTGCACGTTGTTTTTACAATTGCTTGAAACGGTATATAATCGACGATATACTGAAAACACACAGCATTTTTAAAGTTTCACTCGGAATGAAGATTCTCGCGATATTATTGATTCCCTCGTTCTGGGGAATCGTTTCAGCTACTCCATCGTTCAAAGGAATTAATTTAGTAAAGGACGAATTACAAAATCTCGATAATCAACAAAATCAGAATAAGAATCTCGATTTAGGAGCTGCCGTTCCTGACAAACAAAAATCCGAGCAGGATGCTACGAGAAACGAGCTTCGGGAACAATCTCTATTTCCTTCATCTCAAAAGGTATCTATGCCTAAATCTACAACACTTTTACACTGACAAAAATTCTTTTATATTGTTTGCAAAGTTATATAATTAAACTTTCATTTATTATTAGAATCATGTATCTTCCCCGGACAAAGAAAAAATCGAAGATACCGTAAAGCCGAAAAATATTATTCTAAATGGATTTGAATTAGGAAGAAAATTAATAGATCGAATAGTGCAATCAATTTTAAAAATTATCCATAAATTTAATAGTGATATATCTAAAAACAAACTTCATAATATACAAAAGAGGGAAAATACGAAGCCTCGGAATGTAATAGGTAAAGTTTAAGTACAATAATATTATATATTGAAAAGCATATAATCGATTATTAAAATCTCTGTGTGAACGTAACAAAAATTAAATTGTGAAATATAAAAATATATAAACTTATTTTACAGTTAAATATAAGAAAGATGAAAGATTGAAAAACACATTCAATCTTAAAAATGCAAGGAAGAGAAAAATAATCGATCAAGAAGTTCTTCATTCGATAATTCCTCAAATTACAGTAAACAATAATCAACGAAGTAGTATATCTAGATATAATGAACGTCTTAAAAAAACTGATAACAATGGGTATAAAACTAAACGAAGACAATTATACCCTGAAGCACATAATGTGCAACGAAATAAAAGAGGTATTCATACGCTACTATGTAATACTCTTAATAAGGATAATAAAAATTGTCCGCATAACACAGATGCAGTTGTAAAAAAAGAAAAAACGTCAATCGTACGATCTTTAAATTCTGGTCCTGCGCATACAAACATCATTCAAAAAATAAACGCGGAAGCGGCTAAATTAAATGAGTTTCAAATGAGTGCTTCGGACAGTGAATTTAGCAAATGGCTTGATAATACTCCAGAATATTATTTTGATTACTCGGAACCTCTTGATATTTCACCTAAATATACACCAATTGCAACTAACATTAAAGTGAAATCGACTAAAACAGCATTAGATAAAACACCTGATAAATCAGCACCTATTAAAACATATTTTCAACCTAATTATGAAGATTCACATTCAAAATGGACAAATGATAAAGAATTTGAATATTACACTGATCTTAAGAAATCTCCTATTACGTGGCACGGTTATAGTACTGCTGATGAAACTATTCCTTTACCATCAGAATGGGATATAATCGATAAGACTACGAATGATAATAAGAATGTTAAATCGAATACTAACTCGATTTCTAAAGCCACTATATCGGAGATAACTAATTTTGAGCCTAATAATAAAGATATAGATATACCTTCAGACTGGATTGCTAATTATAAGGTGATGAAGGATAAAAGTGATGACATATTATTTTTCAAGGTAGGTTCACATACTGGAGATAATCCTAGAACTGAAGTAGTTCGTGAAGATGCAAACAAGTCATTGAAAACTGTCCTTGATGCTAAGCGTAGAAGTGATAAAGATGATAATGTTTCAAAATCTGTTGAATCAACGTCTATTGCAACTACATCAAAAACTGCAGCAGTAAGTGAGAGTCACCAAAAACCATCAACATTGATTGTCAACGATACTATTGTGAATAACAAAACTAATACAGCAGTTGCTGCAGAATCAACTACGTTAACTAAATATAGTGCTGAAGGTGTTGGAATTAATGAATACAAGGAGAAGCAAGCAAATTCGAATATAATAACTGCAATTGTCAGTGATAAGAATGTTTCCATATCGGATGATAAAGCAGCTGCATCTCCCAGTGTTAATTCTACATTAAGTGTATCTAGCAAAAACGAGAATGAATTATCTCAATATAGCGTAAAAAATAATAGTAATTTTACGAAAGTTCAAGAAGTAATATTATCTAAAGCAGTCAGTTCCGGTACTGGTCTAGCATATTCGACAGAAAATTCAGATCCATATAAAATTGATGTACCATCAGAATGGATTGCCAAATATAAAAGCCTTGGTGATAGAGACTATTATTCAAAACTTGTAATATCTGGTAATTCTAACGTTAATAATAGTGCGACTACAGGAGATTCGTACAAGCCGACTAACTGGACAAACGAACCCAAAGTTACAAGAGAGCCGGACGACAAATGGCCTAGTTTGGAAGCAAACGCAAAGACCTCAGCTGTACAAGCAATAGCAGTTTCAACAGAGAAAATAGAAAATTTACTTAACAAGAAGAACGAGGAAACCAAAGTTCTAAGCTTAAAAGATTTAACAGAGAAAGATAAAACAACTACATCTGTTACAGCAAATTCTAATCTGAATGAATCTACTGTAAAAAAACAAACATCATCGAATTCGAGTGAAGACAAAAAGTTATTCAGTACAGAAGATAATAAAGTTGTAGGGTCTACTACAGTTGATGCTAAAACTGCACTAATTAGTGATAATAATAAACAAAAATGGGAGTCCGATAACAATGATAAAATTTTAAATGTGAATAGTCAACTAGTTGCGTCTCCTGCAGGTAATACTAAAGCTGCGACCACTAGTGAAAGTGAAAAGATACAGTGGAAAGAGAATGACGAAAGTAAAAATTGGATAGTTAAAAACGATACTATATCGGATAATAAAGTAACTGTGTCTGTTGAAGCTAATGCTTATGCCACTGCAACAACTAACAATAACAATCAGACATTGATATTAAAAAACAATGTTACATTAAATAACCAAGCGGTTGCGGGCAATGCTGATGCTGCAAAAATTATCGCAGATGATAAAAATATCTTGAAATCAAATGTAAAATATAATAATCCAAGTATCAAAGATGATAGTGCATTAGATAATAAAACAACTTCGTTTTCTACAGCTAATGTTGATATCGCAGTAGCTACTGACAATACAAATCATCAATGGAGATGGAATAATGAAGAAGCAACTCAAAGTATAAAAGATAATGCTAATTTAAATAATAAAGTAGTCTCGCTTTCTGCAGGTAATAGTAAAGTAGCTAATTCTGTCACAGACAATAGAAAAGTTTCAGCAATTATTCAAAGTATAGAAAATGAATGGGAATTGGCAAAAAATAACAATGAACTAAATATACAAAATTATAACATATCAAATATTGAAAAAACTGCGACTGTCAAAAATGCTTACAATGCAGAACAAACTACGATCGATAAAAAGCTTTCATGGATTTCCAGTGAAGAAGAAAAATACAATGTAACATTAGATAATAAAGAGACTACGACAGTTAAAGCTTATCTTACCACAACAACGACTGAAAATGACAAGCAGAAATGGAAGTGGAATAACGGACTCAAAGAGTCAAGTGTAGAAGACAAAGTTTTATTAAAGAACCAAACGGAAACGTCTGCTTTGAGTGATAGTGTAACTGCAGCTAATAGTAAAAGTGAAATAAAGCATGAGATAGGGAACAAAATTTTAAATGACCAAAATATAGTTATATTAAATAATAGTGAGATTGCATCTGTTGAGACTGATATTACTTCTTTACCAGATTTTAAATATGACAAACAAGAATGGGATTGGGCTAATAAAGATAACGATCAAAGTGTCAGAAATAACGATAAATCAAATAGCGAAATAGATTCGCTTGATAAAGTTAATCGTAATGCTGCAAAAGCTAGTGCAAGTAGTAAGGATACATGGAAGTGGACTAGTGAAGGTAAAGTTTCGAGTAATAAATCTAACTATTTAATGGCAAATAAAACAGATCTGTCTTCGGAAGCAAGTGTTAAAGCTATTGAAACTACAGAGAACTTGACATTATTTAACTTACACGACAAGAATGAAAATTCGAGCATAAAAAAAGAAATCATATCAAATAGTAAGGCTGCTGCGTTCGCTGATGCTAGTACTAATTCTCAGCTGGCTACAGATAAGAATAAAAACGAATGGGAGAAAACTCAGAGTGTGAAAGACTATATAATTTACAACAATAAGACTACTGAATTAGACGAAGTTAATGTTAAAGATACAACAAATATTGCACATGATAATAGGTATTCTAAATTGGACGAAAAAGAAAGCGATTCAAGTAAAACAAATGATGTTAAATCAAATAAAACAATTGAGTCTACTCAGGCTAATATTGATCTTACTGCATCTTTAGAAAAAAATAAAAAGAAATTGAGGTCAGATAACAATAATAAAACTGAGAGGATAAATGACGATGTTATCATAAATGATGCAGCAGCAGCGTCGGCTGCAAGCAATTCGAGCATCTCAATCATTGTAAGTAATAAAAAGATATCGTGGTCAG